AGTATCGGCGTGTAAGTTACTGAGTGTGAGTGTATGTAAATATTAGATAAAACGCTGTGTGTGACTGGGTGAATGACACTTAGTAGTAGTAGACTTCAGCAGTAAAACTGAGCCGAAAGTAGCAGTTCATTTACAACATAATAGAACAAAGATTCATGTCATATTTACTGGTTGTGTTGTTTACAGAGAACCTTTACATCATCAACTAACCAGGACAGAAGTTGGGTTTAGAGTCTCCTCACCTTGCCCTTCAGAGCCCCTTCTGGGCCGATCAGGTTGTCAAAGATGTGTTTGGACACGTGGGCGTCCACCGCGGACAGCGGATCATCCAACAGATAGACATCAGCATCACTGTACAGAGCTCGAGCCAGGCTCACCCTCTGTCTCTGACCACCAGACAGATTGATGCCCTGCAGGACAAAAACCAAATAAAAAGGCCGAGGCTGAATTTATATTAGAGTTCCTCGAATCGGAAGCCTGATTACATTAGCAACGCGTATCCAATAAATTCAGGAGAGATCTTTGATGAAAGTCATCAACAAGTGCTGAGAGAAAATTGGAAATAAAACAGATGCAGAAAGAGATTAAAAATTAAAATCAAGGAGACTAAACTCGCTCCCTGTGCTTCTGTACCTTCTCTCCTATCTCAGTCATGTCTCCTCCAGGCAGCACCTGCAAGTCTGGGGTTAAGGCGCACGCTTCCAGGACAGAATTGTATTTCTGCTCATTGTACAGGTTCCCGAACAGGATGTTGTCCCGCAGGGTGGCGTTCTGTATCCAGGCCTGCTGAGGTACATAAGCCACTGACCCCTGAGGATAGAGACAGACAACCAGGTTCTTCTCACTTCCTCAAATAGGAAACCTTTTATTATCAGAATAAACCATGCCACATTTTCTAGAAATGATTCCCACTGCAATAGGACTGATGTGCAAAATAATATACACATATATTCCACTCAAGACTAAGCTTTACAGTACTAAGTTATAACTTCCTTTTTGTCTAACTGGATTTTATATTTTATTACTTATTACTTCCAGAATTGAGCCTAAGTTAAGCTAAGCTAAGAGACTGCTAGCTCTCCTCATTTTTTCCCCAAAATGTCAAACTCTTATGAACGCTGTCTGCAATATTTTAAAGAATGAATGTACCCATATATTAAATACACGTTTATGTTAATAATGGTCTTAAATGTATTATGTAGACTGTTTTTAATTAACAAAAATGTTTAAAAGATGAGAAAATTGAAGCCAAGTCCCATAGACCTGGATTATTTTCAAAGAAAAGCACGGGGCAACCTTGTGGAGAAACCTTTAGGGAGCGGCCCTCAGCTCATTTGCTTTGTAATCTTGGTAAAAAGGTTCCTGAAGACTTTATGGGCTGCAGTATATTCTGTGTCCTTTATCTAAAACAGAGCAACTTGTCAGAGCCACTCCTCGTGCGTGACGTCTGGTTTTAAAGCAGCTGCATAGTGTCGTCACGGTGACCGTCCATTTTCCCACCATTACTGTTACTGAACCACAAAGATCAAAGAGCGTCATTAATTTTAGGCACAATGGCTACAGTCGTTTTTTTCATTCTTCAGTATCTGTGTTGATGTTTACCTGCAACATTTCAGACATAAACTGGAGGTTTATGCAAATATCAACATTCAATAAAATGAAAAACATTTGTAGAAGTTCAGATATTAATGTTCATTATGCCAGCGATATTCGGGAAATTGAAAATGCTTGTTTTGTCTGTTTTGTTTTGTTTATTTGTCACTTGGCAGTAGTAAATAAACGCATCTTTTCAGAGGACAAATATCTAAAAACGAGTTTATTGAGTTTATCAGAGTTTTTTAGTAAGTAAGTTGCGTCAAAAGGAGCAAAAAAATTTGATGACAACTATTTGATGGTTCCATCATTAAACATGAGCCGTTTCATTTTACATCTGGCCAACTGATCCAGTGTTCACACGAAAATATCAAATGGCGAAACTTTACAGGAAGGAAAACTGCAATAACTCGGTCAAAACCACCTGCTGCTTCCCGGTATGTTATTCAAAAAACACTAGGGGAATTCCTACCCGAACAGAAACCTCTCCCTCCACTTTTTCCATGTCACCCAGTAATGCTGAGATCAGGGAAGACTTCCCACAGCCAACATGGCCCACCACAGCCAGCAGGGAGCCCTGGGGCACCATCACGTTAATACTGCAAGCACACAATCAAATATTTTACTAAAACAAATACGGTGAATATAAAAATACGATGTGTGGCTTTCGTAGCATACTTGTGTAGAACAGGAGCGTCGTCTTTGCCCCACGTGAATTTCCCATTGACAACCGTGACTGCAAATTCTGTTGAGCAACAAAATGACACAAGTGAGAAAAAAAATCCAAGTCGTCCAAGAACTGGCCAGGCAGGAGTCACTAGGTGAAAAAGAAAACAGTGAACTTGCACTCAAGCATAATGTAATCTAAATGACTAGACAAAGCAAAGTTTTGACAAGTTAATCCAAGTGTTTAATTTCACCTGTGACTGTGTTGCTCCTGTTTACGGAATCTGGATCCAGCTCATCATGACTCAGGAAATTTTGGACTCGCTTCAATGAGACGCTTGCCTGAGATGTAGAATAAACAGATGCATGCAATGAATTCTGCTAAAGAAAACCCGAAACACGAACACAGCGCAGGAGGTGAAAAAGGTTCCCACCTGTACCAGGCTGCTGATGACTTGGGGAAGCATGTTGAGGGGAAACCTAAGGATGTTAAAAAGCGAGATCGACACGAAGGCCGTCTCCGCATCCAGGATGTTTTTTTCATCCACAGTTACATACACGGCAAATGTTGTCAAGGCAACCTGGAAACACATGGGAAAAGCAGACCACTCAGACATCAAGGTTCATCGGTTTAATGCAGAGAGGAGGCAGAGCCGTGATGCCAGACAGTCAGTGACTCAGCAAGGATCTAAATATCAACAGCACCTTTAAGGCTGAAGTGCTCATTTACCCAACTAATAAAACATGCGTCCACAAAATGTGACCTAAAGAAGATAACAATTGCAGGCATGAGCACATGTGAAAAGAAACGCTGCTCACACACCATATGAAGACTTTTCTCCTTTCTTCTTTGCACAGAACCTTGGCCTCAGGGTAAGGCCATGTGTATATATACACGTGCTTCAGTTCAGTTTCCTGTGGTTTTGTTCGTCCGCTGCAGAAAGACGCCTGCTGAGTGGTGAAAGTCGAAGCACTAGAAGCACTCTGGTTCTTCCAATATTGTCTCAAAAATCCCATTTTTGTTAATATTTTAGCCTTTCGCAATTGGGACACAAACTTTCTGTGGTGGCTCCAAGTGCACCAGAATACTTAGTCACTGTAGGTTTATCCAGAGCTTTTCAGACTGCTTAACAAACTTTGATGGAAGATGTTTAGACTCATCATAAATCATTCGAGTAAATTATGTGTATGTAAATTAAACTGTAAATGCTAAACAAACAAATGGGGTTAGTGTGATCGTATCTGCAAATAATCTTAATCCAAATATTTTCATATCAAGGCCTAAAACCCCCTAACGAGGAGCTTCTTAATAATAATGCCAACATGTGACATTCTTATACAAGTTGGAAATGAAAGTCATGTTAATGTAAAGCAGCTTCCAACCAGTAAAGTTAGTAAAATATGACTTTAAAAACTGACCTAGAAACTGACAAAGCTCTTTGTCAAGGCTTTTACTAACAAACCATAACAGACAAAAAGCAGTGTGAAACCTATAGTGGTGTCATAATAATAAACTGTCAAATTTGAACAAGTTTTCATCCTGTTTAGATTTACTGTGTAGTCAACTTTACTTCATGAGTTTCTTGCAGACATTTGGGGGAAGCCTACCAGGAAAGGCGCACTGGTCCAGGCCATGGTGGACAGTGCTCCGAGGTAGGCCGTCTTGCGTAGCACGATAAGCTCCTTTTGCCGAATGGCCAGGACCTTTTCTTTGAAGGAGCTCTCCCACGCGTACAGCTTGAGGACTTTGATGCCGTTCAGGATCTCGTTCATCAGCTTGATACGAGCATCTTTGTGCTGCATCTGCTCCACCTGACGATGATGGTGAGACCAGCTGTTTTTACTTGTGAATTTTGATACTTAAAACACAAAGGGGACTTATTTTTAAGCAAATCAATTGTGTAAATGTCTCATTCTGTTTGTTTTACACTGTGAAATACCTGATAGGCTCGAGTCTTCATAGCGATAAATGCATTAAAAGGGATCAGCATGATCATAACAGCCACCCCAGCAAGCACAGATGGACCGAGGATCTGTAAAATAAACAAGAGTCAGCAAATGATTAAATTTATGATACAAAATAAAGAAGAAATCTCCTGAGTGTAAATAAAAACGTGGCAGGTCCTGGATAACCACTACCTCCCACGGTCTGGTGAGGAAACTGTAGACTGACTGGATAAAGAACTTGATCCAGTGTGGCTCAGCTTCCCACAGCTCTGACCACGAGACCTTCCAGTCCATTCCCTTCTCCCACTGAGCCCACACCCCTTGCTGTCACAGTCTGTCTCTAGCTGTGCAGGTTTCCTCCACCCCTGTTCAGATTCCTTCCTAAACCAACTGGGTTCTTTCTTCTTCCCAGGTTTTGTTGCATCATGGTATTGGCATGCTGTTGCCAACACCAAAGTCTGCCGCAGCGGCTCTTCTGCCTGGTCAGCTCCTCCTGAGCCCTTCACTTCCTACCTGTCCTCACCTTTGTGGTGGTTGAGGAGGCTCTCTTACCAAACAAACCACAAATTTTTCTGACAGGCTGCTGAATGGAAGTCATAGCTTGGAAGATGATCTCAGTGACCGACAATGGTCAGACAGCTTCCGAATTACAGTAAATTTTAGCTGTTATTCTCATGAGTGCATTAAATAAAGTCCCCTTGGCATAAGGAGAAGACTCAGTGTAACACAAATACAATCTGTGCATGTACCTGCCAGAGGAAATATAGTGCCAGCATAATCTGAAGAGGGGCAGACCACAGCATGTTAAGGAAGGTGGTCAGATCCATGAACCTCTGTGCATCCACAGACATCAGGTTGACTATCTCTCCCACAGTAGATGAACGCTTGGCTGCATTAGTTATCACTAGTGCCTGTAAAAACAAACAAACAAGCAAAACAGAAGATCAGGGAACAAAACTCTTAACACCACAAGAATATTTTCTATGAAGCAATGGATTTCTCCCTTCTAAATTTAAATATGAATGTAATTTGTTTGCAGAACAAAAAAAATCTAATGGGATCGTTTCCTGCATACCTTCCTGTAGATAGCTCCGATGACAGCAGTGCGCACATTCATGCCAGTGACAAAACAGTACTGAAATTGATGGTGGAGTATGAGGGTTTGCAGCAGGGCCGTGAAGAACATAAGGCAGGCCAGCGTGTACCCCCACCAATTAGGAACATCTTTTGCTTTAATGAACAAGATCAGCATCCTGGAAAGATAAAGAAGAGGAATAATTTGATTAAAGCACATGAAGCTGAAATAACCAAATTTTAAACTCCTGTGTAAGCCCTCCATCCTCCATACATGCAGACACACACTGCAAAATGTTAGTGTCATTTAGCGCACTATGATCCAGGTATCCTACAGTTTGGACTGTACAGACATCTGTTCTTTAACAATGGCCTTAAAACACTGGGGAGAACTGCTGACCTTCAACACCTGAAAAAAAAGATAAAAAAAAAAAAAGTCTGGCATTCACAAAAGAGTGTTACTATTAGCAGAGACCTTAGCGGCTTTGTTGACTCATGGTGTGAGTGTGTCAACACACCACTGTTTCCCAGGCCTCTAATTTCTTCTGTGCTCGCCTGTTGAAATCAGACCAAATCAAACATGTTCTTTAATCAGCCGTCCTCTGACACCGTTACGAGGACACAGAAGTCACGAGGCTCACGAGACTTGGAATGTCCTCCGACAATCACCTGAAGCTCCTTTGTTCAAACTGCGCTCATGCTTTTGCCCTCAAGGCGAGTCACGTTCCCCGAAATCTCAGCTAAGCCAAAACTCTAGTCTGTTTTAACTTTTCGTGCATTTTACTTCATTAGTCTTGCAAAGTTTTTAAAGCTACAGACTTATTTGTATCTTTTTGAGTTAGCGACTCAGGACACACGTTATTTAGCGTAGCATGTCACCTTTATAGCTTTACATACTATATATCAGAAACTCACTTATTCCTGACACTCCCTAACTTCCCTAATGTCACATTCCAGAAGGACTGCTATTTCATGCTATAGGGACAAATAACAGAACCTGTTTAACCTGAGATAGATACACTTAATCTGCAGATTATCTGCTCTTTCCATGTGTGATTACAGTATGTAAAGGCAGCTTAAAGGCCAGAGCTAGAATGACAGGTACATCCTGTTGTAACAGTAGATTTTTCATAGTATAGCATAGTATATAAACCAGTAAAGGGCTCAATGGCATGTCAAAGCTGAACATGAGGGACAAAATAGTTGTCTTTAATGTTTAAGTGTGTGGCAACTGCTTCTTCTGGTTAAGGGTTTTGTTATTACTGTGGTTATACTCTTAGAAACCACTTTTACAAGTTTGATTATAAATACAGTGCATCTGAAGAGCGCTCTTTACTTGCTCCACAGTTTGTCCTGTTACAGCCTTATTCCAAAATGAACTAAATTCATTTCTTTACCACAAAATTCTGTACACAATACCCCATGATGAAGGTTCCTAAAATTCTTGCAAATGTGTTAAAAAGAAAGAACAAAACCATGTGTATGTAACATGAACACAAGTATTCACAGCTTTGCTGTTTCCACTGATCTCCTGTCATGTTTCCACAGCTTGATTTGAGTCCATCTGTGGTAAATCCAGTTGATATGAAAAGGCATACTGTCTATATGAGATCCCATAGCTGACAGTGCATATCAGAGCACAGACCAAATCATTTAAGTCTAATGAATTGTCTGTAGACCTCTGAGACAGGATTGTATCGAGTAAAATTTATATAGTGCTTTACTAGTCCCTAAGGACCCCAAAGCGCTTTACATATCCAGTCATCCACCCATTCACACACTGGTGATAGCAGCTACATTGTAGCCACAGCCACCCTGGGGCGCACTGACAGAGGCGAGGCTGCCGGACACTGGCGCCACCGGGCCCTCTGAGTAAGATCTGGGGGAGGGTACAAAGCCTTCTGCAGCACTGAAGGTCCCAATGGGCACAGTGGCCTCCATCAACTATAAAGAAGAAGAACTTTGGAACCACCACCAGGACTGGTAACAGAGCTGGCTGCTCAACCAATCTTAACAACTGGGCAGTTTGGTCAGGGAAGTGACCCAGAGGCCGGTGAGCTCTGACAGAGCTTCAGCATTGGAGAGAGTAGAACCTTTCAGAAGGACAACCAGTTTTTCAGCACTCTTATTATTAGGCCTGTATGTTAGATTGGCCAGTCGGAAGCCACTCCTCAGGAGTCTGACAAAAGACACTTAAAGGATTGTCAGACCATGAGAAGCAAAACTCTTTGGTCTCTTTAGGTAATGTCTGGAGGAAACCAGGCAACGCTCATCACCTGGCCGATACCAATCATTCAGTGAAAGATGGCGGTGGCAGCCTCACAGTTCCTGCTGACCTGGGTGACCTGTCAGGGTCGAGGCAAAGATTAATGCAGACATGTACTGAGACATCCTCGATGATAACCTGCTCCAGAGCACTCCTGACCTCAGACTGGAACAAAGGATTTTCACCCAAACGAACAATGACTCTAAGTACACAGCCAAGATAACAAAGGAATGGCTTTGAGACCACTCTGTGAATGAGTGGCCCAGTCAGTGACTAGCTGGGCACTGATGCGCTCCATCCAACCCGATTCAGCTTGAGAGGTTCTCCAAACAAGAATGAAAGGTGTGCTGAGCTTGTGGCATCATACTCAAAAAGACTTGAGGCTGTCACTGAGGCTACCAAAAGTGCTTCAAGTAGTGAGCAAAGGCTTTTAATCCTTATGTGCATATTTTATGCACTTTTTCCGTTTTTAGTAAATTTAAAAGAATTCCAAGCAAAGTTTTTGCCCACTTTGTCATCATGGGAACTGTGTGTAGAATTTTTAGCAGAGCAATGAATTTATTAAATGTTGAAAAAGACTGTAACATGACAAAATTTGGAACAAGCAACAACAGCATCTCTATGAAAGGAAACATGCTGTACATATAAAATATAAATAGGAATCACTGGATGGCGTTACCACCGACATTCTAATGAATGTTTGGAAGGACTGTAAAGTTTTCCCTTCACTATTTTTTTCCCTCTCTTTCTCAGACGGTATTAACTTCCAAAAATGGCTCAAAATTAGTTTTTCTATTTTACATATAAGGCATCGTATTAAATCCTGAGATCCATTTTTCCATAGAGGAGAGGCTGGAACTTTAACATTAAGTTAGGATTTTACTTGGGCATACTACAAAAATAAATGAAAACGCTGTCTTATCAAAAGATAACTGTCAAATAAAAGGACAGAAAATTTGAAATTAAAATTTCCCCCCACTGTGCCGCAAGTAAGAATGATACATCAGTGTCAGGAGGGAATGTTCAAACACATCAGTCCCACAAAAGACACACGCAGGAAAACTATCTGGGAAGCCATCTCTGATAGCTTATCTACACAGTGATAAGGATTTCTGAGAAAGGCTCCTATCATTGAATTTGCACCCTGGGCTACTAAAGGCATAAAGAGGAAACATATTTACATGAGGAGTTTGCATCCTGAACAAGGCCAGTGTACGCCTTTAAATATAGACAGCTAACATGCTCTGCATAAAGAAGACCGAAATGCAAAAACACAAACGCAGCATGCAAAAATCTGTCCTGGATATGGTATTCCACAACACTGGAACAATAGTTGTTTGTGTGCTGTAGTAAAGAGAGCACGCAATAGTAGAGTAGAATCTTTGTCTTTACTTCAGGAGCTGTGGGTTGACAAAGGTGATGATGTCCTGCAGGAGCTTGTAGCCTGAGCCAATCAGAAAGTAGGGTCCAAAGGCCTTGACGAGGGCGCGAAGGAAGGATGGCTGGTGCGCGACTTTCTTACTGGACAGCAGCACCTCTACTTCCTCTGGGCTGCTTTCGCCTTCTCCTCCTCCTGAGATGTGGTTGGTGGTTGACGGCGGGGGCTTAGCGTACGTAGCCTGGCTAGCCACACTCTCTTCACTGTAGGGGGGAGGATTTGGGTATTTAGGATGGGAATGAAAGAAAAAGAGCAAGAGATTCAATACAATTACATTTTATTTATATAGCACCAAATCATGACCAAATCATCACCTCACGATTTATATTGTAAGGTGAAGATCCTATGATAATACAAAAAAAACCAACAATCAGATGGCTCCTAGAAGCAAGCACTCGGGAGGAAGACTCCCCAGTAACAGGATGAAACCCCTGAACTAGGCAGAAAGAGGCTTTTGCACTGGACCTTCACCAGGACCCAAGCATAGTGATTGAATCATGTGAGGCCAAGATAACATGTTACTCAAGATACAGAGGTGCTTTTTTCTGAATAACATCTGTTGTGAACAGATAATTGGCACAACAATTTGGATCAAAATGTTTGGAAGGAAAAGTCTAACTTAAGTTTCTTTAATGACACATATCCTGACTGTTTAACTACAGCAGCAGAAAGTGGCACTCTCATACTGATAAAGCAGCATGTTATGTGTCTGACTCCCTCTGCCAAATATTTAACATTTGCTAACCCTTTCAGCAGGCTTTCAGGGTCAGCACTGGCTTTCGTTAAAGCCACATGCTAGGCACAGGCACAGTTCAGAAACTAGAAGATGCTACGCTTCACATGAAATCTCATACATTTTTGGCATTGCAGGTCTTATGTTAGAAGATTTTCCATTTGTGTGCTGTGCTCGCAAAATATTTGTCTCCAGATTTTTAAAATATTTCAAAACAATTACTAGTAATAATTTGATATGAGTTTCGAAAAAGTAAATTAAACTGCCAGAGCTCCTGACTATCATTGGATTTAAATAGCTTTACCGTCTGAGGTCCAACCCCAACAACTAAATCTAACTAACTCCATAAGAATGCGTAAATTTTGACACATCAAAAAACTATTCACATTTGTTCCAAAAAAATGACAATTCTGCCTTTTGCCTCCCAAATACAGGGTTATGGTGTGGTTAGGGTTACCACCTATGCTAACGTAAACCTCAGATCATAATACCGGGGCGATCGTGGCTCATAGAGTTAGCAGTTCGTCTTGTAACCGGAAGGTTGCCGGTTCGAGCCCCGGCTCGGACAGTCTCGTTCGTTGTGTCCTTGGGCAAGACACTTCACCTACTGGTGATGGCCAGAGGGGCCGATGGCGCGATATGGCAGCCTCGCTTCTGTCAGTCTGCCCCCTGTGGCTACAACCGTAGCTGCCTCCACCAGTGTGTGAAGGTGAAATTGAATGAATAGTGGTATTGTAAAGCGCTTTGAGGGCCCTGAAAAGCACTGTATAAATGCAATCCATTATTATTAAAGTCAATTGTTCTCTTGGTCAAAGTGACTGCTATTATATCCGTTTGATATTATACAAACTTTTCAAATGCTTTCTTAGCCAATCACTTTCCTTTGATGAAAATACCAAATGCATTTAGGAAAGTGTTCAACAAAAGATACAGGAGGTAATATTATTGACCTTTAGACGTCATCCCAGGTTGCTAGCAAAATTTCTTCAATTTGAAGCAAGTTTAGCTGCAGATTTGATGATGTTTATAAATGAGAAAAATGTTTGCCAGTTTATGGCAAACATTGGAGGAAACGGCTGACTACTCAGTCCTAAATTGCAAAGACACTGTAACCCATTAAAGGATTCAACTTAAATGGAAAGTACAGTGAACTGTTGATACTAAATCCCTGGAAATGTAATAAAAAAAAATCCCAGAAAAGCAGTAAATCACTGTCACGTACTGACTATAATTTACCATAGCTGATGAATCACACTATGAGAGCAACTGCCAATGTTCAGTAGCTAAACTGTTTTAGCTCTAAATTATACCGCATAAACAAATCATACTTCAGATTCCCTCTGCAAACCTGGATCCTTCCAGTGGCGAGCAGCGATGCAAACATCGGAAAGGGAGAAAACAACAACGAAAACTACAGCATTAAGAGTTGTTGTGGCTGTTGGTGGCTGCATTTGCTTAAATGGTATTAATGGCATTATTTGCTCAAAAGAAGCTCAGACAACCTTTGTTCAGCATACTACACAAAGTGTAATACAAGCTTAAAGCACAGGAGTCTGATTACAGCAGTGAAGGGAGACTACAGTTCAGCAAACAACTGTTAACATGAACAGGTTTCCAGGTCACTACTGAAAAGGCCCTAACCAAACTGTTCCCTCTCATTTTACAAGAAGAATGCACAGACAGGAAAACTGCCCAGAAAGAGGAAGCAGCCTGACAGAGGTCGGAGTTCAGCAAAGTTGTCAAGCGTGTTTGCTAAAGCGGTACAACGTGTAGCTGTAATGCTGTTCCCTGCCGGCAGGCAAGGAAAGTAATTTCTCCTGCATGAAGCTGAACAAACTCAAAAGAATAGAATGCAGCATCCTTAATATGAGAAAAGTCATTCACTTTGCAGAGCAGCGGGAGGTGGACTTAATCCTCACAAGCTCTGACAGTAAAAGCCCGAGATATTCCACAAACATACAGGAAACATCAGAGCAGCGTTACTACAAACGAGCTGCTTTCCTTTATAATGTTGCAGTGCATTTCGTATATCCTCTCTAATGCCTGCAGACGCTCTCTGTGCGAGTTGTTGCTGCAGTCTGTGTGCGTGGAGTTTCCCACAACTCTTTAAAGTAGAAACGGTGTGTGGTAGCTTCAGATACTGATACCCTCCTGCTAGGGTTACAAAAGAAACGCGCTAGTAGTTTCACTTGTGCAAAAAGGAATGAACCTACGCCTGCACGCGCACAACCATACACAAAGGGCTCTGCCCTCTACGACAACATCCCTTCCCTTTTCCAGTCTAACAAAGAACTAATAAATCTGCCCTTCCTTTGAAAGCCTGAGCCCGGGGCTACAATCAGCTATGGCTTTTTTTAAATTCACATTATGTGGATCAAAGAAAGCATTTATAGAAATTCAAATTAGTTTATAAATGTGAACTCTTAGGTTTTCACTGACTGCTCAGACAGCAGGAATAAATGACAAACAGGAGAAATGTAAACGGTCTAGAGGAATACATGCACAACAAGAGAAAGGCACACAGCAGAAAAGTCAGCGTGTTGCAGGAAGACAAAGTAAAAAGGCTTTAAAAACACAAAAAGGTGCAATATTAGCCGCTGCATACGTCTGTATGCGCCGGCATCATTGGACTATGTTACATTTAAAAGTTTTGTAAATGTCATTGAGCCACAAAGAGAACTTAAGGCGGACACTGTTCAGCATCCCTTACCCCATCTTCAGCTGGCTCAGAACGTGCTCTCACTGGCGAGTTAGCAGCCAAAAACAACACATTGTCTGTGTCCTTGCTTGGCTTCCAGTAACATTTTGAAATTGCTAAGACCTTATTCTAGCATCAGCCTTCTCCAATCATCAGATCAAGGCCTTTTAACTATTCCCCATTTAGAACAACACTTCCTCAGCTCATCAGGCCGGTTGAATCCCAGTGAAAAGGGGTTTGTACAATTCTGATGAGCTTGAAAGTCAAGTTGGTATGACCACCTTTTTTTTTCTCATGACCCCCAACACCAGCAGCCCCAAACGATGACAGTGCAAAAATTTAAAATATGAATTCATCACTCTATCGGACCCATGGACACTGATTTTCAGCCTAGTTATAAGTCTGCAGCCTTTTTTCACAGCTTATCTTCCTTGAGAGTGACTGAAGATAGTTCTCCAGGTTTAGTCTGAAGCCTGGAGAACTATCGTGTAAGACCGCCTTAAAAGACATCAAAGCCTGTCTTATTTTAAGCAAAACACAAAGAAATGAAGTGTAGCTCAAAGCTTTTAAGTTTAACATACCTTAACTTTGCCTTGGCCTCCTCCTTCTCCCACTCATTAAGGAGCCTGGGCACCATGACTTTGGAGCTATCGCGCTTGTTCAGAGACCACAGGTCTTTGGCCTCCAGGGGCATTTTGTAGCCCTTTACAGCCATACTGGGAAGAGAAGCAGCAACTTAATTCAATCTGTTACATTAAAGCAATTCATTGCTACAAGTGTGACTGAAACAAATGAGACATTATCTAAATGGTTAAAGTGCATGTTTGCCTCTTTTTTCTGTTTAGTTTGCTTTGATTCATTGCCAACATGTAACACTAAAATTCTTTATCCCAGAGCCATCTTACCAATACATGTTGTCCTCAAAAATACTTAATTGAGTTTACTGAATTAGCTAATGATCATTATGTATAACTGGATTGAATTTCACCGGAAACTGGCCTCATGTTTTTTCCCCCCCTCAGAGATGCATATACAGTCTCTCTGCATGTCTATGCAAAAATAACAGATAATAATAATAACAGATAATAATAATAATAATAATAATAATAATAATAATAATAATAATAATAATAATAATAATAATATGATATTGCAGTATTAAATAAGCAAAAGCTACATTATGAACTAAGTAATTATAATCACAGTGCAAACTACCCTCATGTTTTGACACCATGTGATATAGTAAGTAAACAAACTCTTCAGTGACAGGTTTGGCTAAACAGTGATTCATGAAAAATTATCAGGAAACAATATTTGTAGCATGGAGTAACGGTGCCAGCAACATTTCTTTTTTTTCTTCAAAAGGTATTAAACAACTAATAAACTGTACAATGAAGGAGTAAATAACTCTTACATTTAGGTAAAGTTGAGGTCAAGCAATACTAAATAATATAGCCACAGTATGTGTGCATTAAAAAGAGGACTGAAGGGTTGAAGCACTAATATGAATGAAGGAATGTTAGCATGGGTTATGATGACCTTACATTTATTTATTACCATGGCAATTGCAGTCACTATGAGAGATGTGAACAAAGATCACACTTTTATCATTCTGCATGTTTGAACACAGTGAATACTGTGTAAACAGCCACTAACATAATGACATATTATTAATTGTGGATTAGCTAACATAGCATGGAACAAGCTAACAGCAAAAGTAACAGCGATTTCTAAGCTTCTTCATTCAAGCTGCACTAATGGTTTGTTTTTTATGACTGCAAACGTTTTACATTTTACCACCAGCTGTGGTCGAGGTAAGTCGACACTGCTTGTTCAGTTTCACTGCGTTTATGATCACTGCAATAAAAAAGGAGAAAGGAAAGAAGAAACTAGCGCTAATCTAAACAACAACAGTATAAAGCCAAATGACTCTCAGGCTAAGCTAAGTGAGATAAGTCCAAATAAATTAGATTGACTTAAATTATCCTAAAACATTTTTCTTGTTTTAAGAGGGCTAATCCATCTTGAGAAAAAGCCCCAAACTGAAGATTTAACAGACTAGCACGTCCTACTATATTCACAGAACTACAAAAACTGCTTGAAAAATGAATAGCAGGGTCTAAAGATGGTGAAACGAACACCTCAGAGTCTTTAAAGCCCCCAAACTTTTAGTGTATACCACAAACTGTTGGTCTGTGGAGGTTGGTTTGGTGGCAGACAGCAATGTTAGCTTACCTTGTGAACCACCAAAAAGTGATCCTTGAGAGAAAACCTGCTGTAGCTTCAGGGCAAGGATTCTGGGGGAGGGGAAAAGAGGATGAGTGCGCATAATATGAGACCAGGGAGGTTAAATGAGGATAAAGAGGACATACTGAGAAGCCAGTAACAACTGAATTCAATGTGTGACTGTGTGACCTGCTTTAACAAGCACAGAGCTGCCCCGGAGCGTGCTCAGACTTTCAGCTACTCAGAACACTGACTTTATGGTGTGAGCAGGAAAACACAAAAATTATTTATGAGCGGACTGTGACCGATGACTCACAGGGTCAGTGACAACATTGGAGAAGAGAGGAGGTTTCTCGTTGAAGCAGCAGAGAATGAACTCACAGACCACCATGCTGAAGTAGAAGTAGAAAGTGGTGAACCGCAGCTTATCTGTGACTTCGCCCTGTAAAGTATAACAAGAACACACACGCAGACACCAAGACATCAGCGTTTATCAGTTTTTGGGATGAGATGGCTTTTTGGAAAACACACCATGTCCTTGAAGTACCAGTCCACAACAGCAGTCACCTCAAGGAGTGTTTAAATCCTAAGCTAAAGACCCAACAATATTATATAGAAACCTCAACATTCACACGACCCCCTGTGAGAAAGCCTTTGGCGACACTGGAAAGTCCAGTTCCCTTTTAACAAGAAGAAACCTCCAGAGCAACCAGGCTTCAGGGAGGGGCGGCCCTCTGTCATAACCTCCTCTAACAGATGAACAATGTTATTCCTCGACTGCACCTTTCAGGCCTGCAGCTATATCAGAATTCACAGGTGTGTCTGGGTGTTGTCATTGTGTGCAAAAGGTTCTTTGTGACACATGATGATATGAGTTACTGCTTACAGCAATTTTACAGCTTTATGACAAAGTAAATCGAAATTTAAAAAAAGAACCTTCCTTGAATTCTAATTCAAGTCCTATATTTTATGTCTGCTTTGGTGATGAATGTAAAATTCACCCCTGGCAGTCAGGCAGCAGGCAGCCCCACCCATGCAATGCTACGACCATCCAGGAGAAAGGTAAGCATGAGTTGTAAGTGTGTGGGTGTTAGGAACATTCGCATGAATGGATGGAAGCTGACCGCAGGATGTTCGTATGTAAACACCTTTTGACATATGAATGGAGGTAGAACCGTTGGATCTGTATGTGTGTACAATAGTACAATACTACCGGCAGCTAAAATAAGCATTGTCACAGTGAGCACAGCAGTGTGCTGAGGTTAGGATTTGGTTCAAAGGCTAAACAACCCTACAAGGTAATAGAATGGCTTTTCCATTCACTAAACATCCACACAGAGGAGAAAGTATCACAAAAGCCAAAAGTCTGCAAAAATCAGGCAACCCCTTTTTTGCCACTATTCAATTCAATTTTATTTATACAGCACCAAATCATAACAACAGTCCCCTCAAGGCGCTTTATATTGTAAGGTAGACCCTACAATAATACATGAGAAAAACCCAACAATCATATGACCCCCTATGAGCAAGCACTTTGGCGACAGTGGGAAGGAAAAACTCCCTTTCAACAGGAAGAAACCTCCATCTAACCAGGCTCAGGGAGGGGCGGGGCCATCTGCCGCAACTGGTTGGGGAGAGATGGTCTGCCATGAACTGACACAACAGATGTGAATCTGAAGATCTCAAACGCATGAATGTTGTCTGGTGCAGTGAATTTGTATTTACCATTCAGAAAGCACGCTACGTTGCAGCTATCAGGAGAGATCAACGCTGGCACCAAGAAACAGATGAGACAGAACCTTGTTGAGGGTCACGGGGGGACACATTTAGCCATAAATCTGATTATCCTCCACATGTAAAAATGTGAATATGAAGCCATGTAAACACGCTAATTGGGGTAAGCCTTACTCTGATTATTGACTATAATCCCATCATTACGTGCACGTTAACACAGCTTTTGACCTTTTTATAACAGAAAACAAGTATATCACTTAAAGATTTTATACAAGATTAACATTCTCCACATGACAGTCATTCCATTCTCTGTTCTCCACAATAATATTAACTCGTGGAAAAAAGAATTACTTGTGCATACATATATCAGACATCAAAGCCTTTCATATCCAACACTGAGGCTGGTCATCTTTTTGAGTATTAAACGACCCCAGCCACAAACAGAAACATCTGCTGTAGAGCAGCTAAATCGTCCACTATTCTCACTAGGCAGTACCAAGTGTATGGTATCTGATTATAAATAGTAAGAATGGACCAAACCAGTAAAGACAAAGATTAAAAATGCTGCAATGCAATGCACAGTCTAGTTTTTATTAGGAGCAGTTTTGTTCCGTATTCATAACGCCATGATTATGAACAAATATTGATTTTTGCTGCTTTAAATAACACTAAATACACTCAGGTCTAAAATCTTGCATTATTCAATAAACTGCACCATTCCTCATCATGTGCACAACTTGCAATCAACTTTGACATGAATCTTTATTGTGTAAAAACAGCAGTTTTCAGCCTTTGTAGTACAACAGTTTAATGGGTCACTAATCAATTTCCCTTCTCATGGACGGGAAGCTTATCTGGGAGTCATGCAAGTCCTGCAGATTAGAGCCTTGCAATTGTTAAAACCAGAATTCGCAGAACTACTGGGTCAGCAGCGCTTACAAACAACTGTTCTGCATCAGTCTCCACCGCAGCTCCATACTCCCTGCAGGGTTTGTTTGCTGTGAGCTGCAGCTCCGCTGGTGAGCGGTGCACACTGAAGGTAAGATAAGTACACTGGGAACAACAGGCCTACTATTCCCTTTTTGCTTAGTGGTGCCCTGATCTAACCCCTGCCAGAGCATCCACCCACTGTAAACTCCAAAACAACTCTTAAGACAACAAGACTGGGGGAAGGAGATTCAGACGGGTGAAAAAAGGGCACCAGGCAGAGAAGATGATGGCAGATAAGTAAAAGGTATTTGAGGGCAACGGCATGTTCTCACCTGGCTGGAAGCCTGTAGGATCTTGGAGCGGAAAGGCACGGTGGCACACAGCAAACACAGCAACCAAAAGATGAAGAGGACCCCCGAGGACTGGACCCCGCGTAACCTCTCAAACTGGATCAGAAATGTGGCCAACAGCTGAGAGGGAAGGAAGGGGTGGGGGTGACACACAGAGAGAGGAAAAAGGATTGGGAAGGGGTGAGGGGCAGAGGGAGAGACGGTATTAGATTAGCCATGACAGAATAACTGAGGGCATGTGAGGTAAACCACACACAAACTGGGTCAGTGTTTCAACTTTGGGTTAGATATGCTCCTCGTGGAACCGCAGCACTCAGGGCAGTTTACTTCAGGAGGACCGCTTCACTGTTTTCCTATCTGGCTTTTCAGTCAGCTTCTGCTACATTATTTCTGGTGATGGAGAGGTAAAGACAGACTTTTTAAAAAGACAGTGAGATCAAACTCGTGCTAATTACCAATTTAAGGACCGTCTTTAAATTAAGAGTGAAAGCGTAACTTGCTTTTCATCCTCTGTTATAGACTTTTTCAGAGGTGGATCCTTATATCAAACATGCTCAAAATTTAAAATAATAACATCAGAGCTCCACCTACCTACTGTTCAAATCTTCTGTTTTCAAGGGGCAGCCAATCAGAAGAGAGTTGGCTTACAGGGAGAAAAACTAACACAGCTGATTTCAGACAGATGATGAACTCAGAGGCTGCACCAAGTCCCAGTGTAACGTAAATAAGTATTTAAGCTATTAATGAGCAAATGAACTCTGATAGAATCCAATAAGCTGCATGCTCCTTTGAGGATGTCCTCATTCAGGACATTCGGTACACTTACTCATTCTTGTTATCCTACTTTCTAGTCCACCTACAGGAGTTATGCACAGCCGGTGTCTTTTTAGTGCAGTGGCTACACAGACAGTGAATTGGAAAGTGCATCTGCATCCATACATCTTCTCATTCACCCTTTGATAATGAAATTTTGGATCCTAGTAGACTATTGCACATTTCCAGATGTAAAAAGCATGTTAGGACTGCAATGCTGTCCATACACACAGCCTTTTCTTTTTTTAGCCGATGTGACTCACCTGTGTTTAGCAAGTAATCGTTTCCTTTTTCCTGTCTAAACTTAGTCTGTCAAGCAAATATTTATCACAGGATAAAAAAAGGCACAAAGGTCATAAAGACTCATGAACATCTACACCAAAAAACGTGCTAAAGTTTCAGAGGATGAGCAAAGTCATTATTAAAATGTTCTGCAGCAGTCGATTTCTTTTGTAAGGATTTTTCTGCCTTTATTAAATTCTTTCACCTCAAATCAACAAGGCCAGCTCTTTAAACCTCACAGCTACATTATTTTCACCATTCAGGATTTTTTCCTTTTTAAAGTGCAGACTGAAAACCTCAATGTCTTTGACTGAAAAGATTCTCTCATCTTTTCAGTCCACTTTTTTTCTTTTTCATTTCCTGCTGCTGCGTGACGTTTTTCATTTCAGTGCTTCCTGTCTAATTTTACTTTGGGCAATCATTGCAGTGTGCATGTCCGACTTTTAGTGGTTCTAAAGGATTTCATCACCTTTTCCACCAGAAAACTTTCTCTAAACAGTAAATTTATGCCAACAATAACAACTGAAGTGATGGAACATTCCACTGCTGTGGAGGGGGAGACGAAATACAATTTTCCTGTCTAAGAGGAACCTGGAAAAAAATACAGTATCATTATTTACACAGTATCTGGCCTCAGGTCTGTAGCACTGGCCTGGTTAATGGATTTGTTTGGAGAAAGGAAAAAAAAAGAGTGCATATGACTTTTCTCTTTTTACTGCCTTAAGAAACAGAAACTGTTTCAGATTTGTTTTTACGTCCTGGAAAAAAAACTGTTTTGATTTGGAATAAGACATGCGACATTTGAAATTGCAACAACTTCACGATGGTGTAAACTGTTTATCACAAGACTGCCAGCTGTATCCAGTGTGACAAGGACATTTCTGCACATGTGCAGAAATGCGCCAGAGTACCTTCACTTCTGCATCTTGGTTTATTTGGTCCAATCTTAGATAACTGCATCTGAGCACTTATCACACTGATAGATGCATTTTGTTTTTAACAGTTTGGGATTTAAAGATGTAACATCAACAGTCTAACAGATCATTCATTTACTGGACATTAACAACATTAAACCACATGGGAAAATGTATATTGCCTGAACAATATATATGTTTGACCTTTCATAAACAACAAAATTTATCTTTTAATCAAGCACATGAGTTAGTAAACTAATCAGGTATTGAAAACCCAACTCAATGCCCGCTCCTCCAGTCTGTCTTGATCTGTGGCTCAAATGAAAGCACTACTGGGATACTGATTAGCTCCAAATGAGCTAAAAATTGCACCAAAAACTGCATTTCTTAAAATCGCCTGCAGAGCCTCGCTCAGTCCCATGGACTCCTGTGTTAAAACACCCAACTTTAAAACATTACAACACTAGAAAGCATGTTTTGACCAACCTGCTAATTTCCCTTACTTAACAACTATTTTGGCATCATTGTCTTTTTTTTGTATAAGTCACCCATTCATTTGTCAAGGCTTACACAGTTAGGAGTTGTTTTATCTGCAAGTCTGCCAAGTTAGGCAGCTGTAGCTGGTAAGGCTCTTAGAGAGGTTTTAAACGTGTCCGTGGTGTTGATGGTTTTTGGAGCATTTTATTGGCATTATCTGACAAATAGAAAAGGCCACCAACAAAGTTACTGCTGCAGTTAGTGAGTGAAATTCTAGCATGTTATCTAGCACGTCTGACATGATGGCAAAGAGGCTTCAGTGTGGAGTCTAGGATTCATTTCATGGTCTCACGGGCACTGTGCATATCTTTTATCAATATTTTGTGTATTTTTTTGGGTGAATTGTATCAGTTCAGAGAATTTCCATTTGAAGCTGACTGTTTTAATGGCATTTTTACGGCCATCTCTATTCTCTTCTGGTGTGTTGACTTAGGGTAAGATCTAAAACCTGCAGTACACCGGCCCTCAAGGCCTGGAGTTGGACACCCCTCTTCTATTGTGTCTATAGTGTCCATGACTGCAAGTTGAAAAAAGCTGAACCATCAGAAAGTCTAAAGTTTTGCTGCCAAACCCTGTACATTTATGAGTGTGGAATGATGCAACTACAGGGATTTCAAATCAAAGTAGCATATATGAGTGTGAGAAACACTTTTCTCTTGCATAGTTTCATTTGGTTTTCTTTTTGTTGTTTTACAAAAAAGAGGGAAGTCTTTACTGTGGCATTATGTCTTAAATGTATCAATCGGAGAAACATTTGTGCGTTTGTGACCCGTGTCTTTGAAGTACAGCGATACAGGAATGTTTTCCCCACTTCTTGTTACTTCAGGAAATCAAACAATAAATAGCTGAAATACTGAGCCTTTGGATTTCCTGACAAAGACCAAATAATTTAGCTTTGGCCCACGGACAGACATAAGCAGGAAATGGACACAGAATTACACAGTGATTGCTACGTTTTCCTCTTTTGTTTTATTATTCTAGACCATAACTGCACTTAAGATGATTAAAAAAAAAGTTTGAGGCCTCCCGCTCCTTAAGCTCTGAGTCACATTGTTTGTCTATACAGGCTCCTCCACATCTCTGTGGACGTTTCTGTTTACACAAAACTCACTTATTTTGTTGTGCTTCATAGCCGAGTTACACTTGCTTAGAAGAAGCTAAGAGAAAGGATTTCAGCCTTTCACCCACACGCAGTATTTGAGTGTGTGCATGTGAACATGAACAAAGATTCGGATCACACATTAACTGGCCACAGCTGGTTATGGATGTGTAATGTCAGCTTCGATTTTCTGTTACAGTCATGTAAAAACACCTCTGGAGCACTGAAGGCAAGCTAACTGCCCATGTTGCTATTTCACTTTATCCATCACACGAACAGCTGCTGTCATTTTGGCAAGCCAGTCTCCGTGACTCTTATCTTTTATCACTCAGATATTAATCTCTTGTATATGTGGCCTACATCAGCCTGTATTTGAATATGCAAAAAAACATTTGTATAATTCTTAAAAAAACAAAACACACACAATACAAACATATATATACACACACACACATATACATATACACATATATATATACACATATACACATATACATATACACATATATATATATATACATATACATATACATATACATATACACATATACATATACATACACACATATATATATATATATACATATACATATATATAAAAAACATGATCCTCACCATGGTCATGCCAAGCACGAGTGGGGTTACATAGTAGATGGGCGGCTGATTCCCCTCGTGCAATGTGTAGAAAAGATCTATCCAGCACACAATCCACAGCAAAAAGCCAAATGCCTGAGAGCAAACCGAGAGACGAAGGGAGAGAAAACAAACATTGAATTATATAAAAACAAAGAAATAAGACACTGAAGTCAAAGCCATCAAAATATGAGGAGATTTCTGGCCAGTCTTGTGCTTGGTTTAGTTCGTTAGTTAGTTTGTAATATATTTATTTATACTTCAAGTTCTAGACGCTCTCTGCTGGTCGAGTTAATGTGATGATATATGATAACATGTATGATAACCTGAAAATCATTTAACCATCTAAAACAGAGAAACAAAGTACTCGGTTACTAAAATTGTGCAACCTTTACTCTAGTGCAACCTTAGTTTGCAGGACGTTACTAGAAATCAAACACATAAAAGAGGCTTTAAAAACCTCATTCATAGAACATGAAATGCTCCTCTTTGTACTGCGGTTATACCATATATGAGAAACAGATCACATATTATTCAGTAATTATTTAAATAAATGAACACAATGTACAATTTATAGACACTAAACGTGAATATATGAAAGATAAATGTTGAATCTAACATGGTTCAGTATTGGACCCTCGGGTTTTTATTTTATAGACATGAATATACGAATTATCTTGCAAAATCTCACATATTGCAGTACCTCCCAACTAGTTTTAAACACAATAATGTGTACTATGTGACATTACCATACACTGAACTATAATAAACTAAAGTGATGAGTGTATGAAATGCTCTCTCACCGTCTTGAACCTGTTCAAAAGTGACATCATGATGTATCCTTTCTTGTTCTTCTTGAGACAGAAGATGTAGATTGGGCTGACAGCCCACAGATAGATGCACTGCACCCATGAGAGAACAGAGAGCTGAAAACACTCTGGGAGGTCAGGCCAACTGGAATTAAATGTCCGGTTGGATACCTGTGGACACAAGAAAACAGCGGTTTAGTTTACATGCCTACATCTCACTGAAAGACCCACAAAGCTAACACCTTGTCTAAACTGCACAAGCTGGAATCCCACCTCCACAACCCACAGAATTTAATCACACCAACTGGTTTCCTTAAGTTAAAACTCTTAGTAAACATCTTGTGAACATCTGCTCATTGCTACAAATTGGGGGGCAGGAAAACATGATGTGCTGGCCTGCAATAATATTAAATCTATAACTTCAAAGGTGACCAGTTGGTTAGCTACCCAGTGGAAGAAAGTTTTGTGTCTTTGTTTGTTTTATATCTGATGTTTGGATTTAAACTACACATATATATATGTCCAGTGAAAGTAACCTGGCATTGTGTTAATCACTTTCCTTAATAATCAAACTCAAATTCAATCAGTATGAGGATAAATGTCAGGATAATTTGGGGCTTTTAATAATTTCTTTGAACTGGATATTTAAAAACTCCAAATTACCATAATATTCACGATCATAATGGGTATATGGGCAAACTGCATTCAATACAGTTTTATTTATCTATCTAACGCCAACAGGACTTTATTTTGTAAGGTAAACGTGCATTAATACTGTGGATAATGTTCACCTTGTCATTTTGACTTTTCATCCAACATTTTTTACTTTAAGATTAAAGCCTATCAGCCAATAATATCTGCCGATTGATAAATCAGTCCGCGTCTATTTTAGATGAGCCGACACTGGTCCACACACTGCACTGACGGGAAAGCAGAGTGCAGTCCACCTGCATTAGTAGCAGTGGAGGTTAAGAAACATGTACAAAGTGGGCACCACTTCGGATAATGTGTAAATATTAAAACCTTTAGCATGACGTGTCAAAGACAGATGGCTCGTTTACTTGCAGCTGAAGAACAATATCTGATTAGCCCAGAGGACATCCGGAGGAGAACGCCAAGTAAACATTCGCAGATACGCAACTCTGACAATGCAGTTATGGTGCTCCCACACGGCTGAAGGCCCACCACAGATCGAACCAAGATAAACACAGCTGCCAGCATCTAACCACTCTTCATACCTTGCCACGCCCATCTGCATGGCCAAGTGTGTGCTTGCGCATGTGTGTGTGGCTGTAGAATGTCCCTCTCCACTTCAGATAGTCTTAACATTGCTCAAGAGCGAGCAGTGAAACCAGTGGTTCTGCTAATCTTCTTAACGATTTCCCAGACCGTGAATGTGAGCCTTATGAACTTGTTATTTTTAAACCTAAATTCATGAACTTCTCCCAGTGTGTGTTTGCAGTTTTTACTACAAAAAAAATGTATGCACTTTAGCTCCAATAATGACAGGAAACTAAAAGAATTCTCAGACCGTGAATGTACTGTTTATCAGCAGGGTTTCTCCATTTCACAGTCCAAACAGAAATGAATTTTCTGACTCACAGGATGTTAAAGTCCACAAGCCAAAACAATAAGCTGTATTTTACCATCAGATACACATTTACTTCAGTACATTGTCATAGAGATAATAATCTATTATGTTTAACATCAACTTTAGGAAGAAGCTGCAGCAAAACTTCAGCAAAATTATTTTACTCAGCGTGCCGGTGTAGCTCAGTGAGTGAGCAGATGATCATATGCTACCATCGTGGCTCAAGAGTTGGCAGTTCGTCTTGTAATCGGAAGGTTGCCGGTTCGAGCCCTGGCTCCGACAGTCTCGGTCGTTGTGTCCTTGAGCAAGACACTTCACCCGTTGCCTACTGGTGTTGGTCAGAGGGCCCAGTGGCGCCAGTGTCCGGCAGCCTCGCCTCTGTCAGTGCGCCCCAGGGCAGCTGTGGCTACAGTGTAGCTGCTATCACCAGTGTGTGAATGGGTGGATGACTGAATGTAGTGTAAAGTGCAATACAAATACTGGCCATTACCATATGCTGTATGATGGGACAGCAGTATTCCCCACTTTCCTGCCTAGATACACAGTCTCTATCCATAAAAGGCCAAAAGAATAATCTTAAAAATAAAAAATATTTCACTCAGTGGTTAATCAATATAAACCTGAAAACAAACTATTCTAAATCATGCAGGCCTACAGACAGGTCAGTGACCCGCTGTAACTGCCAGTCTTTTAGGAAAAATCCAATTCCAACCAACTGGCAAGTGGTTGCAGCTTCCTAGCTCTTACTAGATGAAATTGGTTGTAAGAAGGCATGTGTTGGTGCATTAAAGACCGCCCTGCAAATGCATTGGTTGCTGCACAAAGGCCTTTCTACTGAAAAAACATGTTTCAAAAGGTGCAGCTTTTACTTTGAAGGTAAACGTACTCCATTTCAGGTCAGCATCACATTTTTTCCTAGTTTCAAAACCGCTCTGTGGTTAGTTAGCAAATGTTTGCAAACAGTCATCTTCTATGCAAGCTAACCCTAACCCTCTAACCCTAACCCTAACCTAGGTTAGGTAATCTGCTAGCAATCACAAGGAGAATTTCTGTGGAGCAACTCTGTTGTCACTGATATCACCCAGCAACAGACAGCAACCTGTAGTAACCACTTGCAAACTGCAGGGGGAAATACACTTTCTTCCATAGTGAGTTGACGTTGCCAAGGAATCCCCAACTAGTCTCTCGGTCTGGGTCCAAAGAATCCAAAGTTCCGGATTTGCTGAAGATTTATCAAAATGTTAATACTACGAAAAGGAATCTGTTTGGGATTGTTTTGGTTTTAAACTGCTCAATGAAGCATTTAGATAAAAGGACACCTTGCTGCTCCTACAAGGACAAACAGATAGAGGGAACATGCTGTTAAATGCTCAGTATGCACAACCTGAACCCTGCAAATAAAGCTCGGACAGTCTCGGTCGTTGTGTCCTTGGGCAAGACACTTCACCAACCGCCTACAGGTGATGGCCAGAAGGGCCGATGGCGCAATATGGCAGCCTCGCTTCTGTCAGTCTGCCCAAGGGCAGCTGTGGCTACAACTGTAGCTGCCTCCACCAGTGTGTGAATGTGAGTGTGAATGAATAGTGGTATTGTAAAGCGCTTTGAGGGGTCCCGAAAAGCGCTATATAAATGCAATCCATCATTATTTTTATTATTATTAACAAAGAACACTGGGTGCATTATATCAGCTTCAATAGTTTGGACTGGTGTAACCAGTCCAAGCTCTTAACCCTGTATAACACACAAGTTGTCATTTTTAACTTCACTTTTTATGAAAATAACACAGGGAAGCTAAAGTGTGGCATGCTAATTAGTGAGAAGTGTCAACAGGTGGCTGTTGTCACCTGTGGATACAACTGTGTTAGTGCCGGTTTCCATTTAAGCTAACCATCTCCTGTCTGGACTAATACATTTATCACACAGGCATGAGAACAGCACCAATCTTCTTCTCTGGTTCTCTGGAACAAACAACTTTTTTTAAATGATCCATTCAGGTTTACCTGACACATGGAGGACTACTGCAAGCAGATGTTACTTTTCACCTAAATGAAGTAGTGACTTCTGCATGCTTTGCATTGCAAATGTGCGCATGACACAGCAACTAATAGGTCCTCCTCTCCATTTCTCCTTTCTTCAGGTCAACCTGAGCAGCAGGACAACATATTATTTGTGTTCAGATTATAGTATGTAAAACACTGCTGGTGTAAAAGTGTAAAAGTGGTGTAACTGTAAAAGCTTAAAATATTACAACTCTGTGTGTCAACTGATATTGATTAAGGAAAAACAAGTTAACAAAATGTGTTTTAGAAGCCTTAAGAAACACCAGAGGCTTCTATCAAGCAGGAGATTAATGAAAGGGAAGAGACAAGCTACTTTCAACACACTGCAGCTGCTACTAAAGGCAGACTACCGGTACTAGACTTCATTCTGTTTCACAGACTTTCAAGGTCGTTGTCTTCGCACTAAAGACCTGAATGCTGAGACTTTAACAAAAGGCGAGATGTAAAGGTTCAGAGAGCAGGAGGATTTCTTTTCACAAGACTGAGATAAAATATTAGTAGAAGCAGAAGCAGACCGGAGTGTTAAACTGCAAGCCAGATAATTTTCTCCCTTATGAGTCTCATCATGTGGTAATACCGATCACACTGAGCGATAAGAGCCAGGAAAGATTCAATAGCGGCATTTGACTTAAACATCCTGGTACATCGGCTTCATGGTAATCAAATCAATCTGATTTATACAGAAGCTGCTCTCTCGACTCATCAGGAAACGTGTTATCTTTGACTAAAACCACAAAGAAGAAAATTGTGTCACTCTGCATGTCAATCACGCTCGTTAATCAGAAGTCATTAGCTATGAGAATATCCTGCTTAATTCTATTTTCTTAATCTTAGAATTACTAAATCTGATTTAGTGATCAGTTTGACCCAAAACAAGTGGATGAGACCATAAACCAGGGGTCTCTGGCTTAAATGAGCTGTGGGCCACTGCTGGCACTGTCATCTCATTTCAGGGCACTTTGCTGTTCAAGTAGTACAAAAAAATAAACAAAGAAAACACAGAAAATTTAGTGTTTTGTTTGTTTTTGAAATTTCAAATATTGTCTACGAAGACAAAACTGCAAATGCAAACACAATGTTCCCCTCACTCTTAACCAACTGAAGCCTTTTATTGAACTACCAAATAAACAAATTGGTCGTCTCTTTCTGGCCACACACGTGGCCGCACTTCTGCTATAAATTTGTTCGTATTTACCAAAGTAAAAATGCAGACTTAAGTGTACACATTAGTTTCTGACTGATAGTGAAAGCTGTTTTCTCTACAAAGAACTGAACTAACACAGCCAATCCCTCACATGTTTGTCTCCCCCATGACTGTGCCTCCATATGAAATATTTTTTGCTTTTTAAAGAACTTATTTTAACATTGCACTCAACAACAAACAAATCCTTCCTAAGAAAAAGAAAAGTAACTTCAAAGGCCAAATTGCATTTTATTTCTTCAGGTCAATGTATGAGCTCAAGTAGGGGTGACGTGGGCCGCAAGTTTGGCCGCTGCCATAAACTGATCAACAACCTCAG